ATCAATCAGCCAATTTTGGGGCTTTATTCCTGCCCAAAGCAAAGAAGGCTGGTAGGTCTGCCTTGCCTTGTTTGCTAAACCTGATGTTAACATAATCCAACAAGTAATTTCAACCAGATCACTGTCTGAATTCTCTAATTTCTGGAAAGTTAAATTTATACTATTTTTTAGTGCTTGTTATAGGGGTAGTAAAATGCAGAAAGAGTTGACAAATTGGGTGCTTAAAGCTAGAAAATTTCACAGTTGGGTAGAAACTGGCTTGAATTGAGATATAGTGATAATCATGTTAATTAAAGCACATTTAAATCCTCTGGTCAAATCCTGAAAAAGCCAATCATTAAACTTGACTCTTGACAATACAGCCCAGTTGTTTCTCAAAATAAAAATCCATTTAGTACTCTGCCCCTCTCAAAAAAACAAGACCAGCTACAGTCTCAGGGATACCTCTATGACAAAAGGCTCTAAACACAAAGTTTCAGAAGGCATGTTCATGGAACTTCAGGTACTCCAGTTAGTGTGCAGCATAGGTAAGGTGTCACACACCTGTAATCGCAGCACTTGCAAGACTGAGGCAAGTTGATCACTGTGAGGGTTCCAGGTCAGCCTGGACTAAACAGGAGAGACCTTGACTGAAAGAAAGAATGAAAGAGGGGGGAGAGGGGGAGAGGGGGAGAAGGGGGAAAAAGGGAAAGGGGGAGAAGGGGAGGGGGGAGAGAGAGAGAGACAGGCAGAGAGACAGAGACAGACAGAGAGAATGACTGACTGACTGACTCCCAGCTGGGTGTAGTGATGCACACCAGCAATCCTAAGTACTAGGGTAGGAGAGGCCAAGGTAGGAAGGAGGACAGAAAGTTCAAGGCCGGTATGGGCAATGTAGCAAGACCCTGTTACAAAACAAATTTTTTTTACAAAAAGCTAGGGGTGTAGCTCAGACCCCAAGTTCAAGCTAAGGTACCATTAAAAGATTATTAAAGCCAGGTGTGTCATGGTACATGCCTATAATCCCAGCACCTTAGCTAAGGAGAGTAAGGCAGGAAGACTGCTTGAGCCCAGAAAAATTGAGGCCACCCAAAGCAAAAGATTCCACATTTTTTAAAAAATCAAACCTTTAAAGAATGTGTTCAAGTACTTTCGGTCACCACCTAAAATATTAACAAATAATTTAGGGCCAGCCAGATAGCTCAGCAGATGGGGTTTGATTCCCAGCATGCCATGCCACCCCCAGGGTGAACTGAGATGGAGACTGAGATTGGGTGTCGTGGTGCATGCCTATAATCCCAGCACTTGGGAGCCTGAAAACAGGATCACTACAGTCTGATCTGTGTAGTGAAATCCTATAGACCTTGTACTAAAATATATTTTTTAAAACCCTCTTATTTATAGAAATATAAAAAATAAAAGTTAGCCTTAGTAAATAGTAAGATCTGCCCACTCCTCTGAAACAATGTATTTTTAAAAAGGAGGGCTGGGGATGCAACTCAGCAGTAGAGTACCTGCCTAACGTATACATGGCTTTGGTGATTCCCAGCACTACCAAAAAGTTAACAGGAAAATAAAGGGAGCCAATGCAACATATTATTCATGAAGCTGAGGAAGAATTACACGTATGATGAAAACCTGGCTCAGGATGCTCAGACTTGGATGGCCAAAGTCTCAGAAGATATAAAAATGATAAACAGCTAAATCTTTAGAATTAAGAGTAATAATTGTAAGCCAGGTGTAGTAATGGTATGCCCCTGTAATCCTAGCCCTCAGGAAGCTGAGGCAGGATTGATGTGAGTTCAAGGCCAGCCTAGGCTATACAGTGGAGTGGTAGTTCATTCAAGGTCAATCTCAATTACACAGTGGGATGCTGTCTCAAAAGATGAGCTGGGGAGATGGCTCAGTAGAATAAGCGCTTGCTTGGCAAGTACAAGGGCCTGAGTTCAATCCCTAGTTCCAAAAAAAAATTAAAAAAAGAATAAAATTCCCTAAGAGTGGCAAAATCACCAATGAGGTATGGTACAACAATCCCAGCACTCAGGAAGCTACATAAGGCAATCGGTTTGAGCACTCAAGGCCAGTCTTGGGTACACAGGAGGTTTAACTCGTTTGACTCTAGTTTGTAAGACTTAGTGAAGCCCTGTCTCAATAAACAAGCTGACAAAATTGATGACGCTAGCCTGGTATGGTGACACATACCGTGATCCCAGCACTCAGGAAGATCAGGCAGGATTACCTTGAGCTCAAGACCAGCCTGGAAGACCTAGCTACGCCCTATGGCAAAAAATAAAAATAAGATGCTGCTGTGTAGCCCAGTGGTTGAGCTTCCTAGCTTGCATAAGGCCCTGGATTCACTTTCTAGAAATGCCTTATAACGGAGTAACGTAGCATAGCAGTTACCTGTGATAAAAATAAGTAATGAAATAGCAAGGCATGATGTGATAGCTCATGCCTGTAGTCCTACAATTCTGAAAACTGAGGCAGAGACATAAGTTCAAGGTCAGCCTAAATTACACAGCAGAGCCCGTCTTAAAAAAAAAAAATTAAGAACCCAAAAATAGTCATGGTAACAGTTATTATTTACCAAGTTATTCAACAACATATTTTGCATATGTGAGGAAATGAGAAGTTAATTTTACTACTAAGAAAGTAGAGGATTAGGATTCTTGGACCATGCCCCCAAGAATGTTCCTACAAGCTATGCTATACTGCCTCCTACAGGTAATCAATAGCTTCAGAACAACAGAAGGAAAATAAAAGCTGAACTCTACCTAAAAAACTAAGACAAGTCAGGAATCTGTCACTCATTAATAAGACAGAAATTATATAGATAGATAGAGTATAGCAAGTTGTCCCCCACACTCACATGAGAAATGATGCAGATCAATTCAAACTGAAAACATCGAAAAACAATCAAGGAGACCAATAAGACAAGGGAGTACAAAACAGGATCTCTCAAATCTAACCAAAAAATGTCCTTAAAGAAAGTGGCCTAACAGATTATAGTAAAGGCCAATCTCAATTGGAGGAGAAAGGATATTTCAGAGGTCAAATTAAAAAAAAAATTAACTTGGAATGAATTCTGTGATCTAGTTATATATCTAAAGGATACATCCACACCTAAATCAGAAGGTTATCCAATTAATTGCCCTCATCTCTGATTTCAAGTTCACTAAGCTGCTAAATTATAATTCGCATTCCATTCAGATCTGCCTAGAGGGAGACACCATGCTGATGAGAGTAACTGGTCCACTGTTGATTTAATAAGGCACGCCTGTAACCCCAGCTACTCAGAAGGCTGAAGCAGGAGGGTCACAAATTAGACCAGCCTGGGCCACTTGGGGCAACCTTACACCTCAAAATAAAAAGGGCTGGGAGAGTAACTCAGTGATAAGGGTGCCCCTGGGTACAATCCCCATAGAGAACAAGGGTGTAGGGGGAGGTGTTAGAATTCACTCCAAGTGCCTTTCTAAACTTTGCTAAATAACCCACCTAGATTATTTGAAAATTAAGCTTTCATTTTCACAATTTCCCTACTTTCATCATCCCACTAAGAACTTCAGAAACACTATTTAACCCTCTTAAACCTTACACTTCTCTTCTGTAAAACAAGAGATATTTTACAGAGTAACATATATGTCTTTGGCACATACAGACAAGAAAATATTACATCTCCTCACCCAAGCTCAGAAAACTAGTAACTACAGAAAACCAAGGACTGATCCTGATTTAGTCCAAATTAATTTCCTTTTCTGTTAGAAGTCATTATAGGTTTTAGTCTCAGTGATTACTGTGGTTTCAGGACCATTTACTTAACCTTTCTGGGCATTCTGTCTCTAAGTGTGACCTTAAGGCTTAGGTAACTGAATATATATCCACAAAACTCAAACTATCATGCAGCCCACTGAGGAAAAAAGGCAAAAACTAAACTAAACTAAAAAAGAAAAACAACTTAGGCTTTAAAGTTAAAGCCCTAACTTCTAAGTTCCTTTTGTGCTGTGTCGGTAGGTTACTGGCGTGCACAATTAACTCCAGCGCAAGTGTGCTGAACGGCAGGATCGCTCCCATAAACACCAGAAAGCGACTAACACCTGACCGCTGACTTCCTAAAATCAATGACTGGCTACTGATATAAAAGAAGGACACTACAGCCATCACCACAGGTTGTCTAAAATCAGAAGAAGGTCTAATCAACATCTTCTTGGCTTGAAAAGAGCTAGCAACATGTTAGGCTACTATCTTTAGAAACGCTAAAATAACTAAAAACTATTCCTCAGTTTACTTGTTTTTTAGATATGTATTTTTGACTTTGAAGGTGTTTGGTAAATAAATTTCCTACCTGGCCAAATCAAGTACAGTATTTGGTACAAATAATTCACATTAAACAGTTCCAAGACTGTATTTAAAGTACTTCGCTTAAACTGCTATAACAAGAAAGCTTTTGAAAACACAAAGAGAGAAATTTAGTGAAATTATTCACAAATGAAAGGAGTGTTATTCAAACAGCTTCCTCTATGTTTACATATGGCGTTTATATTTCACATTATTTTGACCAACACAAGAATCTGCTCAGATGGATTTTTTTCTAACAGTGAAAGCGTCAAAGCTAAACTGTTCAACCTCTTCTCTAAGAGCAGCCAGCCTGACTTCCTTTAGCACACTAAACATCTACGAAAGTAAGCTAGCTTGTCTAAAATCACAGCTAATCACATTTCTGACCCAAACTCAAATCTTTCAGGTTAAAACTCAACGTCACTTTCTTTAATCTTCTTTGTAATTCAATCTGATAAGCAACGACGTCCAAGCCGTAAAAAAATAAAACAAATTCAGCGCTGTCATTCCATTCCCCTCCCCCTACAAAACTTCTGAAAACTTTGTTCCCAGGCTTTCTAACCCCCACGAAGACGCTCCCCGCACCGCTCCACCGGGGAGACCTTTTCACCCGGGAAGGTTTGTAAAGCCGATCAACCTTTCCCCGAAGCATCTCAGAAAGCAGTATCAGGCTGAACTGTACGTACCTGGGCGTTGGCTTCGTGGAGTTTGTGCTCCGCAGAGACGTGGTGCCTCAGGAGCAGGGTTTTCTTGTAGGTGCGGGTCCCTCGCGAAAGCTCATCGTGCCCCACCTGGGGAAGGTCCACGTTCCCTCCATCCTCAGGGGTCTTTTGGCACCAGCCGCAAAACATAAGGCCAGTATCATCGGAATAGCGCAGCCAGGGAAAGTCCTTGAGCCAGGAGGTCTGGAAGGAGCACTGGAGCTTCTGCATTAGGGTCTTGGGCCGGGCGAGCGCCAGGAGCTGCGCAGGCTCCCCTTCGCCGGCTCCCGCTCCGCCGCCCTCCACTTCGTCCCCGCCATCGCCGCCCGGCCGCCTGCTGTGGCCGCAGCTGCCGCCTTCCGCCCCGCTGCCGTCGCCCGGGCTCGCCCCCTCCTCCTCGTCCTCCGTGTTGTCGCTCTGGGACGCGCCGTCCTGCATCAACTCCTTGGTCTCCAGCGAGTCCAGTTCCAGATCCACGGCCGCCGGCCCTCGCCCATTGAAATGCCTCAGGGGCCACGCCGAGGTCCCGGGCCGGCCGCGGCCGCTGCCATTGTTGCCGAGACCCCCGCCACCGCCTCCTCGGAAGGCCAGAGTCCGACGGTTCCTTTCCGCTAGCAGGGGGCCCCCCGCGCCGCCGCCGCCCAGCGAGGTGGGGCCGCCCGCGTCCTGGGGGAGCAGCAACTCCTTGGGCTCCTCGGCGGCGCCGGCCTCGGCGGAGGCCTCCACGTCCTGGGGCTCCAGGCCCTCCAATTCCATTTCCTCGTCGGCCCCCCGCCCATTGGGCTGCGGGGGCGCGGGCGGCGCGGGCTGTCGCGGCTGAGGCCAAGCCGAGGCCTCCCCGCCAGCGTTATTGTTCGCGGAGCCGCCGCCGGCGGTGACCAACCCGCCTCCTCGGAACGCCAGCGTCCTGCGGTTCATCTCACTGAACGACATGGCGCGCGCCGCCGCCGCCCGCTGCCCCGGCTGGCGCCCGGCCTCGGGCC